ACGAAATTTTATACTGCAATTTCCGCCCTCGACACTGAGGTTCTTCAGTCAGTACGCGAGATTGTTCTGAAACCCCCCTCGGATAATAAATACGAGGAATTGAAAAATAAATTAATTTCAGTTTATGAGGAGTCTGAAAACACCAAACTAAAGCAGTTATTACAAGATTTGCAACTTGGTGATATGCGCCCATCCCAGTTATTGTCAAAAATGCAGGAGCTTGCGGGTGACAATTTTAAGTCCAATGTTTTACAATCATTGTGGCTCAATCGTCTCCCGAACAATATCCAAGCTATTCTTGCCTCCAGTAACGAGAACCTACCCCAACTGGCCCAAATGGCAGACAAAATTCATGATGTTCTCCAACCACAAGCAATCAGTCAAGTTCAGCATCCCAGTGTTGATATTTCATCTCTTCAACAACAAATCCAGGAATTATCATTGCAGGTCGCAGCCTTACAGACACGATCTCAGTATCATCCGCGCGGTAGATCAAAGTCCCGGAACCGAAATAATAGGGAATACCAACGCGCTCATTCTGGTACTCAATCAGACATTTGTTTCTATCACAGCCGATTCGGTGATAAAGCGCGCAAGTGTACACCTCCATGCAAATTTCAGAAGACCTCTTTAAACTGAAGGGGCCGTCACTCGAAGCCATGAGTGACAACGGCCCGTGCATTAGTCGATTGTTCGTAACAGATAAACCATCAGGCAGACGTTTTCTTGTTGATACAGGTGCTGACATTTCGGTTGTACCTCCCTCTTTTGCCGAATCCAAACGGCCGCCTGGAAAATTTAACTTATTTGCAGCTAACGGGTCAAAAATTGCAACATATGGAGAAATATTAATGTCTTTGGATCTAGGATTGCGTCGCAAATTTCAATGGCCATTTGTCATCGCTGCGGTTTCGCACCCAATAATTGGTGCAGACTTTCTGCAAAAATTTTCTCTGTTGGTCGACATTAAAAATCGACGCTTACTCGACTCCATCACACAATTGTCCGCGGTAGGTAGCATTGGAAATGCCACTAATTTTGGAATTAAATTAATTTCCGGTAATTCTCCTTTCCACAAACTACTTGAGCAATACCCTAACGTCATCCGCTCAGTAACTGGCAAACCGACTGCTGACCACGGTATTGTACACGTCATAGAGACTACTGGACCACCAATCTTTGCCAAAGCACGGCGGTTGCCTCCAGAGAAATTAAAGGCTGCAAAAGAAGAATTAAATAAATACATGCTTGAGCAAGGAATCTGTCGGCCATCTAAAAGTTCATGGGCCAGTCCACTCCACATGATCCCTAACAAAAACGGCGACTGGCGTCCTTGTGGGGATTATCAACGTCTTAATTCAGTTATTTTGCCTGATAGATATCCGGTTCCTTGTATTCAGGACTGCATGCACGTCTTGGAAGGCAAAAATATTTTTTTCTACATTAGATTTGACTCGTGCTTACCATCAGATCCCTGTCAATCCACCTGATATACCAAAAACTGCTGTAATAACACCTTTTGGATTATTCGAATTTCCTGTCATGACTTTCGGGTTATGTAACGCTGCGCAAACGTTTCAGCGCTTCATTAATGAAGTCCTTCGAGATTTAGATTTTTGTGTCCCATATTTCGATGACATTCTGGTAGCCTCGACAACTGAAAACCAGCACCTTGAACACCTTTGCATAGTCCTTGGCCGATTTCAGTCTTATGGTGTAGTCATTAATCCATCAAAATGTGTTTTCGGGAAATCTAAAGTGTCATTTCTTGGTCACGAAGTTTCTTCGGAGGGCGTTCGCCCACTTAGTGACAGAGTCACTGCAATTCAAAATTTCCCAGAGCCAAAAACTGTTAGGAGCTGCGTCGTTTTCTGTCCATGTTAAATTTTTATCGTCGCTTTCTTTCTCATGCCGCTGAAAAGCAGGCACTTTTGCACACATATTTGGTTGGGAGTAAAAAGAAAGATACGCGGCTAATTATTTGGTCTGGTGATGCCCGTACAGCCTTTGTACAATGTAAGAATGACTTAGCGTCAGCAACAGCTCTTAGCTATCCTTCTAGTTCTAAGCACCCTTTAGCATTAATGGTTGACACGTCTAATACAGCCATGGGTGCGGTTTTGCAGGAACTGGTAGACGGAGCATGGAAGCCTCTGGCTTTCTTCTCGAAAAAATTTTCTGCAGCGCAATCAAAATACAGCACGTACGACCGCGAACTTCTTAGTGCGTATGAGGCTGTTAAACATTTTCGTCATATGGTAGAAGGTCGTGTGTGTTTTCTATCTATACCGACCACAAGCCGCTAATTTTCGCTTTTCGACAAAAGCCTGACAAGGCTTCTCCCAGGCAAATGCGTCATCTTGATTACATAGCGCAGTTTACAACCGATTTTAGGCATGTAGAAGGCCCTCAAAATACAGTTGCTGATGCTCTGTCCAGAATTGAAGAGGTTCAGTTGCCATCAACAACAGATTTCTCCGCCATTGCTGAATGCCAGAAACAGGACCCAGAATTGCAACATCTTTTGTCTGACAAGTCTTCTCATGGACTTAATTTAGTACCTATGCAGTTAGAACCAGATCTTTCACTGTACTGCGATGTGCAAGGTAATGTGGTGCGGCCATACATTCCACTGAAATTCCGGCATGGTATTTTTAGCGGCCTCCATAATTTATCCCATCCTGGCATCCGTGCTTCTCGCACGTTAATTCAACAGCGTTTTGTATGGCCTGGTATGCAGAAGGACATCGCTGCATGGGCGAGGTCATGTACAGACTGTCAAAAATCAAAAATTCACAGGCACACTCGAACTCCATGTCAACGCTTTGAGTTACCATCTGCTCGCTTTAGCCACGTACATATCGATTTGGTTGGACCCTTACCCCCATCACTAGGTTATACATATCTTCTTACGTGTGTCGACAGATACACACGTTGGCCAGAGGCTATCCCTATTGTAGATATGTCAGCTGACACTGTGGCAAAAACCTTTTTTTTCTGTATGGATTTCACGGTTTGGGGTACTCGAGTACGTTACCACGGACCAAGGGCGGCAGTTCGAATCTCAATTATTTACTGCATTAACAAAATTCTTGGGAACTAAAAAGATCCGTACATCACCGTACCACCCGAATTCCAATGGACTTGTTGAGAGGTTCCATCGCTCTCTTAAACAGGCCATTAGATGCCATACTGCTATTCACTGGGTTGATATCCTTCCTATTGTGTTGTTAGGACTCAGAACGGCTATCAAAGAGGACCTGGGTTCTTCAAGTGCTGAAATGGTTTTATGGTACCAATTTACGTTTACCGGGAGATTTTATAAATCCCGCAAAAAACTCACCCAATGTCCAGCCCCATGCATTCCTCAAACAATTGCGTGAAACCATGGCTGCATTATACCCTAAGCCCACAAGCATACATTCTTCAAGACCTGTGTTTGTTCCTAAAGAACTCGCTACATCCTCACATGTGTTCTTACGGTGTGATGCATCAAAAAAGTCCTTGGAGCCTACCTATACAGGCCCACACCTAGTTCTAAGTCGCACATCCAAGAACTATCGGATACTAATCGGCGACAAAGAGACAGTGGTGAGCCTTGATCGTCTCAAACCAGCCTTTATCTTAGCACCACAAACTGTCGAGACTGGTACATCAGTCCCACCTCCTTCGAAGGCACCTTCATCTATTGGGTCTACACCAACATCTGCTACTACGTCAGTTCCTGTGCCTGGATCCCAGAAAACAAGTGCTCCTCAGTATACACGCTCCGGACGTAGAGTCCGATTTAACCCTCGGTACCTTTAATTCGTTGCCACTGGAGGGGGAGTAGTGTGGCAACTCTGTAAACATGTGTTGTACTCGCCAACCGCGCGCCGTTATCACTAACTGTAACCGAAGGTGATTTCGGTGACACACAGTCACGTCTCGTCGTCTGTGCGGTTGGTCGCTCGTTTTTCTCCAACGTGATTTTCTATCGACTGTAGTAATTAAGTTTTAATATTGTGATGTGATTAAATGTTTTTGTTATCAAAAATTGGCTCTTATGGCATGTTATGAATTCATCCTTAAAAGCACTGGCAAATTCCAATACGCATAGTTTGTTGTTGCACACAGCCGCAACCACGTGCAACAATCAGAGCTCTAACTGTTTCATATAAACAACTAGTAAAAAAAATCCATGCAAAGCTTCTGAGGCAAGTGGTTTAAAAACATCAAAATAGCACTTTTACATTTTCATCACAGTGGAATAAAACACATGCTGGCGGTTCTGATGCTGATGTCAATGAGGAACATTGTGGCAAACAATGAGAAACTAATATAAAATCAAAGAACTCGGCAATACATTTTTAAAATCATTCAAAATGATCAAATATATCATAAAATTATTTTTCTTTAATATTTTTTATCATTCTGTTTTTAATGTGAAGACCAAACCTTCTTTAAACTTTAAAAAAAAAAAAAAAAAAAAAAAAAAAAAAACAACCTCCTTTAAAAAAATTCCAGTGCATCAACAATGGGCGAGTTTGATTGAATGAAATGATAACTTTGCCACTTTAAGTAAGTGATTGATTAATGATTGATTAGTGATTGATGCACCTTTCTGCTTTTGTGTTTCCCTTTTATCTCAAATCAGTGGAAAATGTAGCAATTCCCATAGCTATGAAAGCAAATGATTTCATTTGTATTCGTGATACAGCTGATACTGTATTCATGATCCAGCTGAATTTAATCAGATGGATAAAGAAGCTGTATTAGGTCAGCAATAAAAACAAAATTCCTAAGTTTACAAGTAGCAGAAGTTAAAAAATATATGTTCTAAAGTCTGAAAAAAAAAATTCTTTAATGGCAGGCAACAGCCATGAAAATATATAAATAAATAGTTCATTTATTAAGATTTGATTCTTGTATAACTTTAAAAATAATGTGCAAAACTATAAATTTTATAATTTCAGATGACAAATGAAAAAGGCAGTTCCATTTTGTTTCAAATTTTCTACCTGTGCTTTAGCTGCTTCCTTAGCAGCTTCAGCTTCCCTTCTTCTAGCTTCTTCTAACATCTGAGCATTTTTATTCCTATCGGATTGTTGGCCCCTTTTTGCACCTTGCAATTTACTGTCCTTCTCTTTAATAGCCCTAAAAGTAACAGACTATAAGCAATACATTTGGAAGTTTCATAATTACAAAAAATTTTTTACATACTTTCAATTAATTTGGAGCTTTCAGTCCATCAAAATGTTGCCATACAAGAATACTTTCTTTATATATAGAGATAATATTTGATAAGACTACAGTATAAAATTAAAAATTGAGTGACACACTTTTCAACATGCTGGTTTGTTTATTTTATAAAATATTTTTACACAATTATAGCAAAAAATGAAATCTTAGATGTCATATGATTTCTCATATTTATTGATTTTTGACTTAACAGCGACATAAAATCTTTTTTGCAATAAATGTTAGAAAAAGGTTTTAATTTCTCTTAAGCATGTGAGTGTCAGAATTTAAAAAAAAAAAGCAACTTTATGCATCACACTATATATGTGATCATAGTATAATTGTATGGCTTAGTACTTTTTGATTATATGCACCCCATGAAAAGTAACCAATTTATTGGCAACCTTATAAAATGATTAGAAACATTTGCTTGGCTATGTTTATACCTCATCAATAGCATTCTGTTCATAAATAATAAAAAGAAATATTTTTATAAGAAATTTTATGAGAAGTGAATTATTATTATTGATATTTACATTTTTATAGCTGATGGATATTGTTGAGCACAATGACAGTTAAATATAAAGTGTGCAAACTCACATGCTCTAACAGACTTCGTAGCCACATTTTAGTTAAAAAAATATAAAAAAATAAGCACCTATAAGCACTTTTCAAGCACATTTTAAGAAAAAAAAAGCACCTGTTTAATTACATTATACACTACTGCATAATCTTAAAAGTAAAATTAGACTTGTAATTTAAAATATGAGAAATTCAGTATTTATTAAGAGAGAATGAGCATTACTCATCCATGGAAAACAACTACATTCTTTTTTTTTTTTTTTTTCTAATTTTAAATAACAGTTCAATTTACAGAACTAGTTTACAATGAGAGGGAAAAAAACCTATGCAGAACTAAATTATATTACGAGATTTAATGATGAAATTTCATTTCAAAATAGAGAAAATAAATAATAATAAGCCACATTTATTATATGAAATCAGAAGACGGCAAATTGCTTCATACAGTCATCCTTTAACAGTAAAAGCTTAACTAACCGGCATACTCGGAAATAGCCAAATACCTGAAATTCCGGATAATGGAGTGTAACTGGTAAAAGTGGAAGGGGGTAAATTGCAGCCGTTCTTTAGATTTTTCAGATAAATAATGCTTTTGACATTCCAATATGTGTGTGCATCATATAAAAAATAGCCCAACTGAAAAATATCTGCTTAGCAAGCACAGTAAATCTCTGTGAAATATCGCAAACGTTATTGCGCAATATGTGCACCTTAATTCTTTCTCACGTGATATTACGCAATCGGAATCAACAGGTGCCGGTATTCGGAGAATAAATAACCTAAATAAAGGAAAACGACTCTTTGCTTCGTCCGGTTTTTCACCGTCAGGCGCCCATGTGTCATATTTATCATGGAGCAGGACACGTCGCGCTATGCGCGATATCCCCGCCATAGTCGTATTGATTAATAAAGAGATTTACCAATCTGGGATGTTTTTCATTCTAATTTTGAACAGACTGCGTTAAATTTCCGGAATAGAATCATTCTTCGCTTGGGTTGGTAGACCGCAGAACTTTTAGTCCTATTCAATCCAGATAGAAAGTGACCAAAAATAAAAGTCCGTTGCTTGCTTTGCTGCGAACTGTAATGGTTTCAATATTCGACATTTTGTGGAGAAAGGGGAGAACCCCCAAGTTCCGTACTTTCCGTAAAGCATTAGGGAAGAAGAAAAAAAAAAAAAAAAATTATTCGATTACTTTATTTATGCCATTCCGAATATTATGTCTTAGAAAACTAACACACTTACCCATTTTTGAAGTTTATCTATGCTTCAGCAGTTACTGCAAATATATTATTATAAATATTCATACATATTCTCATAATATAAGCCGATCATAATAAACGCGAATATGAACTGACCACACGGAACGAGAATGTAAATTATTAAAATCTTGATAGAATTTCAAACGTGTGTAGTATTGGGTGGGAGCAAAAGAATACGGAATGCATCGGAATTTCCTGCCGCTTTCGCAATTCTTTGACCAATAGAACAACGTGCACCTGTCTATACTCGCGCACACCAAAGGTAAAGAATATACAGGGTGTTTCATAGATCATGGGACAAACTTGGAGGGGTGATGGAGCATACTAAAACGTACATTTTTTTATAGGAATGTAGGGTCTAAAGTGACGAGCAGGGGCGTAGCTAGAGGGGGCATCTGTCCCCGGGCGCAGAATCCAAGGGGCGCCAAACTGATGTTACGACATTTTAGAATTAAATGTTTTCCGTCCTTGGCAAGCAGTAGGGGGAGCGAAATCTTCAATTGTCCCTGGGCGCTGAAAACCCTAGCTACGAGTCTGGTGACGAGTTAAGGCAGGAACGCATAAAAAACGACAGAAGAGGAAAATGTGTTTATGTGCAAAATAAATCTATATTGTTCATACATAGATATTGTTGAATACATTAATACATAGAAGTTCTGTTCCAAAGGTTATGCTAATGTAGAGAAAGGGGCGAAAGGCTATTTCAGGGAGTATGATTCAACATCTGATGTTCCACATAAAAGGAAGAAAAGTTGCTTATTTAGTTTCAGCTTTGGTACGGGGGGGGGAAATGGGCGTTCGTTAAAAAAAAAAAAAAAAAAAAAAAAAGGCACTAAAAGCAAAAAAAAAATGAGCACTAAAAACAAAAAAATAAGTGCTTTAGAGAAAAAGTAAGAACCTATAAGGGCTTTTATATTTTATTTTTAAATAAAAGGACTTATAAGCACTTGTAAGGACCGCTACGAACCCTGTCTAATTTGTGGACTTAAAAAACATATGTGGCATGCACATGAATGGATTGCTTAATGCCACTTGCATCCCCTCCCCGGGGGTTGACTCAGGCGAATGCCTGGGAAGTACTGGTTAGGATCTGTACCTAGGCAGTCTCAACCACAGGGTATATAGTCACTCTTCACAGAAAGCCTGAGGGGTCTTGGGACAGGTTAAGGCTCGGCAGGGACCGCACTGGTACTGCCTTGTCCGCCCTTGCTCTGTGGGGTCGTTACATGGAGACTGATCCAAAGGCGTGGCGGTATTAATCCTGTTTGGCACCCTCGAGGTTGCATTAGGTCGGGAGCCGTCTCGCTCCAACAGCGTAGCCACTTGCATATTCTAAAATATGTCATAAGTACAGGAATTCTACTAAATATTACATCTAGAGGTACAAATTATCAGAAAGTACTCAAGAGTTTTTTCTACTGTACACCAGCTTGTAGCGTCATGCATAAAATTACAATCGAATCCCAGAGAAGGCTTAAATGTTTGTATGTGTATAGTGTTGTTACAGCATGGAGTCACTTAAAATAAACAAGAACTAAAAGCGGACGGGTGAGTGGTTATTTGTAGGGGAAATGAATGGCAAACTCTTGAACCACCCCCTTGGGGTATTCTCCAAAATTGGAATGGAATCACAAAGTTATAATGTCACTTGGTACCCAAGGCCTATGCCAGTGACAGATGCAATCCTGCATACCTAGTTGTGATAAAATTTGTGCACTTATGCTGATGTTACTGCTAGATAAGGAATATAAGTCACAATAACAGTATTTTTTTCAGTGTTTGCAGAAAATATTCTGTAGATAAAAATCCTGGTTTTCCCAATGAATATAATAATAAAATAAATTTTAGGTGAAATGTTTATGTTTACATAAATAAAAATATAACTCACTCTTGCAGTTCTCTTATCTGTTCGTTTAAGGAAAATTTTTCTTTTTCCACAGCTGTCATAACTTCTAATAGTCGATCTAGCTCTGCCTGCAAACGTTTTGCATCTTCTTGAGATTTCACGGCATCCTTTCCAATTTTTTCTTTCTCTTTTGTTAGTTCTTCAACCAACTTTTCTAAAGCTTCTAATCTTTTCTGATTTTCAGTATCTGTTCCAGAAGGCTGAAAGGAAAATTTAACTCAGTTGATAGCAAATGAAATATTAAAAAATTTTTTTTTATAAAATACCATTGGTGAAACTTACACAGACTGCAGTAAATTAAATATCAAACAGAATTAGTGAACAACTGCTTAGTAAATCTGAATAACTCCTCAACTATCATCACAAATATTTATCCACCCCCCACAATAACATTAACACTGCAGAATTTTAAAATCTTTTACTTTCTCGCCCCATTTCACTAGCCGGAGGCGGCTACAATTCAAAACATCCCAGCTGGAATACAGGCCGAGCGAATCGTAATGATAATCATCTGTTCTATCTAATTAATCAAAACCAGATCAAAATTTTAGCCCCAGATGAGCCTACCCACTTTGCCTTAAACAGGTCCACTATCACAGATTTCTTCATTGCGTATACATTTCCATTTAACTATGACATTTCTTCCCTCTCAGCACTCTCTTCAGATCATACATAATCTGGTTCTCCTAAAAATTTATACAAGTTCCCATCTGCCCCCCCCTATTTCGCTCAGTCGGAATTACTAATTGGAAGAAACTTACAAACATCACATCCGGCATAATTCCTGGTAATCCCACTATTAATTCTTGCAATGACATAGATAATGAAATAAATAATTTCACAAGTCGCATTCACATTGCTATTAATGATGCGACTAATAATTTTCAGATTAATAGACGCTTCTTTCCACTCCCGCGCGAAATCAGGAAAGTTGTAATAAAAAATCGCATTCGAAAGCGTTGGCAGATTACAGGAGATCCCCAAATTAAACGGCAACTCAATAATATGCAAAATCACATTAAAGAGGCAATAAAAACCAAAAATAGGCAACACTTCTTACTTTACTTGCACAACAGGACAGCTCCCTGTATGATACATCACGCAAACTAAGGAACACATATAAACCCATTCCCCCACTTCACGGTCCCTCCGGCATGGCTTACTATGACATAGATAAAGCAAACACATTAGCAGATTTTATACAACAGACTTTCACTCCAGATCACTCGCTATATGACAACAATCATATCAGCAACGTAAATAACACCATACATAACTTCAGTCTGGAAAAACGCAACAGTCATTGTCTTCCCCAAACCCCGATAAAATAACACGTTCCAACAAAATTATATACCAATTAGTTTACTCAGCAATTTTTCAAAATTTTTCAGAAAATCAGAAAACATTTCGCTAACACCGCTGAAAAATTTTAAATTACAGCAGCCACTATGTGAGGTTACTATAATACCCTGCTTATACCCATAAGGGTAGAAATAGTAACCTCACATTTAAAAACAAACTAATTCTTTACAAAATGATACTATGACCAGTGCTATTATATGCATGCCAAATCTGCGGGCAGGCCGCCAAGACCAAAATACAAAGAATATAAATTTTCCAAAATAAACTACTCCGCGAAATCGTAAATGCACCATGATACATACCAAACAATACAATACACACAGACCTAAACATCAGCACCATACATGAGTACATATAAACACTAACAACCAAATTCTTTCACACAATACAATTTCAACTCAGAAATTTCCAATCTCAGATGTCCCCCATTCCACATGAAAAACATAAATACCCTGCTTATATCCTTACACCCTAACACTAGCATTTTTACAGACACCCTAAGAAACAAATAAGGACATCCCAATATTTCACTCACTTGAACATACATCAATACGCCCTCCCCCACTGACAATCGCCGATTGACTGCAGACAATGAAGCAAAACTTGCACCATACTCGAATGGCTTATTGATTTTACTCATCTCGTGAAAAGAGAATAATTGTAAAACAGGGCCTCTCTCTCTCTGTCATTATGAAAAAGGCATAAGATTTCATCTCGTCTGAACAACCTCTCTATATTAAATACTCATAGTTAAGCATATGTAAATACTGTCACAATGATGACTATGTGCGATTCCAGGCAAAATGACAGATGACCATCTGAGATTACAGATGATTTTCATCTACCATGGAGATGTTTGCCTTAGAACAGTGGTCTTCAAACTGAGTTCCGAGGAGCCCCTGGATTCTTCCAGTCAAATCCTAAGATTTAGTGAGTCAATATAAAAACTTGAAAATTATAAAGCACTTCTTATATTCATGTTAATATTACTTAATCAATAATTAAGTGACATTATTACAGGCTCACATATATGTAACATTTTCCTTCTTTTGGGAGAGTCACAGGAATATTTGCATTACATAATTATCATATTTGGATGGTCGATATACATTACGACCACTTCTTGTTTTATATACACAATCACAATATTATTGCAATTATCTTGATGGTGAGGATCATTATGTATTTTTGGAGGTTCACTACTTATATTTTCCTCATTCTCATTACATAGATCATAATAGTCTAATGTCACTAAATTCTTCTGATTTTTAGTTTTTCTTAAATAAAATTTATTCCGTCTAATTACCCTACTATCTTTTGTTTTAATCCAATATAATCTAGTAGTTGAATGCTGTTTTAAAACTATTGCTTACTCCCATTTATTTTCCCATCTCAACATTACCTTTTCCCCAGGAATAAATTCAGGTCTTTTCCTTGTATGTTAATCATAATAGATTTTAGCCTGTTTCTTACTCCTCACCTTTTCTCTATATTGATCTTTTATAGTTGGTTTCAATTCTGTTTGTGTAATTGGTAATTGTGTTCTTAAATTCCTACTTAATAGAATTTGACTTGGTGATAAATTTATAGTATCTGAAATTGGAGTATTTCTACTATATTCCAGTAAAGCTTCATTTAATTTCTCCAATCTTGCTTTTCTAAATAAACTCTTAGTTATCTATATATTTGCTTTTCTGCAAATCCATTAGGTTTAGGATATCGAGGACTGCTAGTAATTATTTTAAATCCTCAATCCCTTGCGAAACTCTTCATTTTCCAACTATTAAATGGTACATTATCACATATTAAAGTTTTGGGTATCCATGTGTTGCAAATATTGATTTCAATTTACTAGTAATTTCCACCCCACTTTTATTTTTTAGAGGAATTATGTCTACCCATTTGGTTAAGTAACAGCCTATTACTAGACAACTTTTCCCCCGCATACTCACAGATATCAGTACCAACCTTTTCATGCGGTAAACTGGGAATTTCATGAGAAACAAGAGGTTCTTTTACTGTTTGAGACCTGAACCTATCACAAATTAGGCATTTAGAAATCATATTCTCAATGTCACTGTTGATTCCTGGCCAAAATAATACTTGTCGAGTCCTAGCTTTTGATTTTTCAACCTCACAGTGAGCTTCATGCAATAATGTTAACATACATGTGGGTGGCGAGTTGAAGATGATATCCTTAAGTAAATAACACTTCCACACCACAGACATTTAATGAATAATAATAGAAAAACTACAGATTTGAATTAAAAATAACATTACCGTTGAGTATTTTTAGCTCTGTTGACGTCTCTGTTAAAATTTTATCATGTTCTTGTACGGTGCTAGTGGCAATGAGGATGTTATCAAAATGGATCAATCCTCCTGGTATATTACCAAAATTTTCAAGATTGCGTCGCTGAAAAATTTCAGGTGCACAGGAAAAACCCATTGGAAGCCTTAAGAATTTATAGCATCCAAATGGTGTGCTAGAAGTACAAAGATGACTACTATCCCCATCTAACACTATTTGGAAAAAAAAAATCCTTTATGTCCAAAACAGAGTAAATTGATTTATTACATACCTTTGGTAAAATCTCCTCAATTGTTGGAATCAACACATGTTCTCTTTTTATAGCTTTGTTAAGATCTTGAGGTTCAAGACATATTCTGAAGGATCCATTAGCTTTTTCAATTATTACTAGATTGCTAACCCAGTTCAAAGGTTGAACAACTTTTGCAATAATGCCCTGTCTCTCTAATTCATTTAATTTTAATTTCAGTTTAGGTTTTAAATTAAGTGGTACTCTACGTGGTGGTCTCACTAGAGGAGCTATCTGATCATCTACTATGGTATTACATAATCCATTAAATTTTCCCACACCTTCAAACACTTCTGAATTATTAATAATAAATTTATCTTTAGATGGAGGTAAAACAATTGTATACTTATCTAACTTACCATAATTTGATATTCCAACCTTATTTACAAACTGAATCAAATTAAGTTTAACACATGCATCAAGTCCTAATAATGGACGAATATGCTTGCTAGAAATAATTAAAAGCTCTAGTGGTCTAACCACATGACTAAAAGTCATGTGGTTGATAGCAATTGTTGAAGAAGATCTAGAGTATGATCCTCATTATCTGAGGAACACTGTAACATTAACGACCCATCAGGTTTAACCTTGGACCCCCCCCCAAATGCTTCTAATAAAACATTACACTTGTTTCAATAAGATTAGAGTTCTTAGCACTCAGTGTTTCATAAATTTTCACAGGCAAAACGTTCACTTCAGACCCTGTGTCCAACTTAAAGGTCACACTTGTCCCTTCAACAATTATAGTTTCAGTCCACTCTTATGTAGACGATGTTCAGTATACACTGGTACTTTTGAATAAGTAAATATCAGTATTTTACATCACTTCTTAAACTCAGGAAGCATCCTGCTCCATTCTTATACATGAAGATGCTTATGGAGTATACATATTTAAATATTTTATATAAATATTTATTTAAATTTAAAAAGTAATTTGTTTAAATTTAATTTTTTTTCTTTTTTTTTTACTTTTTATATGCTCAAAATTATCGACAAATTTTGCATACAAATATGAAATTGCTCAAATTATATTTATCATGTTTAATACAAAAATACGTGTAAATTGTTATATTTAAATGAAAAAGAAAAATGCTTAAATGATAATTTTATTATTGTTCTGCATTAAAATGTAACTATTAAAATTAAAATTAATATAAAATTGTATAAAATTTGATAATGCAAAAATTATTGATATTAATTAGGACAAAAAATTCAGTCAATGTATTACAGAAATTCATTTATATAATATAAAATATCATCAAATACTGCTCTTTTCTGATAAAATGTGACATTTTTGACACACTGAAAAGATGTGATCTTGCTCATAGGTTTTCTTTTGTATTCAAAAAATGATTATGTTTTATATTTAGACAGCATTTCATATTTAGAAATATAAAGCAGTTCATATGCATGTTTTATATTTATAAAGATGAAGATGAGAAAATCCAATTAAAAATTCTACATACGAGTTTATGAAATTTTAACTTACGCGAGGATGCGCATGAGGTAAATATGACCCCAAAATAATATTTAAAGTAATCATTTCACAAATAAAGAAACTAGAAATTTGAAACAGCTCTGAATGCTAGGTCATGTGGTTGATAGCAATTGTTGAAGAAGTGAAGTGATAGTGAATCACGGTTTCATTTAATGGAGGTGGGATTAAATAGACTCCACGTACATACTCATGAGTTAAGAACAGCCTTCCACAGAAAACCAAAATTATCTATAATCACACGCGCTCATCTCAAACAGGACTCATTGTATATTGTTCAATGCGATTTATTTTACATAAAACACATTTTTTTCTCCCCCGGAACTGTCTAATTTACCAGCTGCACAATAACTTAGAAAATATGAAAGCATAGTACTATATACTACGTTTACTTACTTTTGGAGGTTGAGATTCTAAAAATTTAATTTTTTCTTGAGATTTGCGCAAGGCTTTGTCCATTTCATCAACCTTTTTCTGCTTCTCATCAACTTGCTTTCGCAATGCAAGGTTTTCAGCTTGCAAAGGTGCATCCTGGACACTTGGTCTCTTCTGTTTTCTTAAAGCTTCAAGTTCAGACTGTAAAAGCAATACATTAGGATTTTGTTCCTTGAAGTTATAATAAAACACGAATGGACAACGTCACTTAATTTTTTATCGATATTTCGATTGACAAATTAATTAAATACATTAAAAGAATAAAAATCGTGTATTTGTAAAAAAATATATGAAATTTGTTTAATGTAATATAATATTTTAGCACTGAAATTTGAAGTTTATTTCAATTTAAGGTCTCAGAGTTCCAAAAAAATATTCTAAAAATCCTATGATGCATCATCATTTTCTGTATTAAAGAATCAAAGAATTAGTTATTAAACATATTAGAATTATGAAACTATGAGAAAGCATTTATTTATGTCGTGAATTTAAGTATTACTTTATTTTTTTCTGACAAGTTATTGTTAGGTATTTTCACTAATCATCATAAAAATTAAAACTGGACTTTTAAAGATTAATAAAAATGTTTGGTACTTTTCTCTATTATGCACCGCGATGCTTTTCGTCACCTGTGGAAGAGAAGCCATAGACGTACCAAGACTCACTAAATTAGAACTACACTTGAGTGTGTATCCATAAATTATTCTTACGACTAGAAATTGTTTACAGTTAAAGAACCCGCCAAAATGCATGGCTGTTGCATAATGCAAAAGTACCAAATTTTCCAAGATTTAAATAATTAATATTTCTCAAAATTTCTAATGAATGGTTGGGTTTTTGACTGGTATTTCAGTGTTAAACAGGTCACTTAGTAGTCTCTAAAACTGGCAGTCTTAATTACCTGTTTTATGGTCAGCACATTTTTTATGATGCCAAAAGTTTACGTGTGGCCTAACAAGAAAGTTTTTTTGTTTAGTAATATTATCTATCACTTCAATTAATTTTTAACATAAAATCTTTCCAAAAACTGGTCTGCAGGTACATTTCAATAGAAATGATGAATTAATATATCTAGAAACTTAATGTTTGCTTTATAAAATGTATTATTTTCTTTAAAGTAAAACACATTTAATAAAGTACTACTTACTTCTGAAAATTTTATTCATCTTTATACTGTATAACGACTGGGATATCATACTATATTAACTTTCCCAGACCACCTATTCTACTATAAATGTCATCATATTTTTATTTTCATAAAGTAGAAACCAAATATGATACAAATATAAAAAATGTGCTTCCTTATTATTTCGGCCTCGTTATTTAAATGGCACCAATATTATTGCCAAATTTTAATTAATAACTCGCACAGCAAACATACATAATTCCTGGTGTACAGTTTGTGGCTGCCGCAAATTTTTTTTCTCGTCTCTAGACGAGAAAAAAAGTCAAAGCCTACAACAAAGACGGTGCAACCGGTGCCGCCGGCACGAGTGGCAGAATTTATTATAATTTTTTGGCACTCTGCAGCAAAACTTTTAAAATTTCAGTTGGAACCTGGCGGCAAAAAGTATAGCTCCGACACTGTATAGTATCAAAATCGTTTTCTTCATGGCAACCCACTTATATTTTAATTGCCTATTATTCCCTTTCCTAAAAAGGCAACCCTACACAGGGTTTCTCTAAAGGACGATCTGCTGCTCATTTGGCGACAGCTGGAGACATATTCGTGCTATTTAAGTAAAGGGCCGCGTTATGATAAGGAGGTACTTATTAAAATTATTGAAAAATGAGGTAAAAAATAAAGTATGCTGGATGTCTAAAAGCACAATCCAAAATTATAATCTATTCATAGGTAATAAGCACTAAAAATTCATAATCAGAGATCACTACATTCCAAATAAAAAATGTAAAATAAAAAAAAAAAAATAAGAGTAAACAAATCAATTATAATGTATATATATATATATATAAAGGACATGCTGTATTCTGATATAGGAAAAAAAATAATGTCAATAAATTCGAAATAATTACTAATCTAATACCTTCAAACTAAACTTTTGCACTTTATAATTATTAATCAAAAAGAATACATGCTCTTTAATGCAGTTTGAAACGAAAATACGTGTGTATAATAGTGAAAGGGTAAGAGGGAATAGGCTTTTTGCACTTTGTCATCAAATCAAATTTCTACGCTATTTGAACCAAAAAGAAACCATGCTTTGGAATAATTCCAACTGAAAATGAATGTTTATAATGCCGGAAGCAAAAAAAAGAATCGATCTACTGGATAAGGTACAGACTGACCTCTCTTCTTTCAAGTTCTTGCACAAGCATTTCCAACTGAGCTTGGAATCGTTCTCTTTCCACACCAGATCCTTGCAGATCGCTCTGTGCCTTCTCTAACTCCTTTTTAAGCTTATCTGATTCTTGTAGAATTTTTTGGTTTTCTGTTTTCAGTTTCTCAATAGTTTTTTGCAATTTAGGAATTTCTTTTTCTAATTTCTCCTTTTCAACCAGCACACCTTTCTCAACATTCTTTTGAACCTTTTGTTGCTCTGCTTTTAGTTGCTTATTTTGTTCTTTTACTTTTTGCAGTTCGGTTAGACAGTCTTGCAGTTCTTTCTGGAATGATGAAATGGTATCAACAGATTTGGCCAATTCTGAACGGAGCTCTTGTTTTTCAGTTTCGCTTGCTTGTATCTGCTTTTCAATTTTGCCAAATTCTGCTTCCATATTCTTTTTAGCAGCACTAAAATCTGCACTTATTTTATCCCTTTCCGATTTCATTTTATCATATTCTTTCTTATTTTCGTTAATCTGAGTATTTAAAATATTTACTGTTTCAGCGTACTGATTGACTTCAGTGCTCAGTTTTTCATTTTCTCCGAACAAACTTTCAATTTTTTCTACAAGTTTTTTCATTTCGTTTTCTGTGGTTTTTTTAAGATTTTCTTGTTCTGATTTTAATTTCTTGTTATTTTCTTTTAATTTTAATGCCTCATTTTTAGATTCTTCGATTTGTTTTTGCAAATTAGAAATAGTATCGTAAGATTTATTCAATTCTGCTCTTAACTCCTTGAGCTCTGCCTCAGCATTATACAACTGGTCTTCTACTTTCTGAAATTCACTTTCAACAGTTTTCTGAGAATGTAATTGTTCCGTCCTAAGTTTTCTGTTATCTTCTCTTAATTTTTGGATGTCAGAGGTATATTTTTCGATTTCTTCTTGTAAGTTTGACACTTTTTCATATGATTTTGCAAGTTCATTTTTAACTTCGGAATTTTCAGACGTTTTATTTTCTAGCATGTCTTTCAAAGTTTTAATTTCATTTTCCATATTCCTTTGAGCTGAATGATGTGCTTGTTTCAAATTCCTATTTTCTTCTTTTGAAAAATCTAGTTCCACAGCTACATTTTCGAGTTTCTTTTGTAAATTTGATAGTTTTTCATGGTATTCACTCAATTCTGATTTTAGCTTCAGGTTTTCCGATTTCTCCGTTTGTAATTCTAATTCTAATCTTTGAACCTCGCTGTCCAAAGTTTTTTTAGCTTTCAGCTCCGATTTCATTTTTTTAAGTTGCTCTTTATGTTTTTGGTCATCGGCTTGCGATAATTCCAACTGCTTTCTGAGGTCTGATATTTCTTCATATGATTTTTTAAGTTCTATTTGCAACTCTTTGTTCTCCATGTTGGCATTCTGTAACTCCTCTTCTAGCCTCTGAAGTTCGGATGAAATAGCTTTTTGAGTAGAAGTCTGTTGTTCTTCCAAAGCTTTGGTGCGTTCTTTATATTTTTGAAGTTCTGACGTCGTTTCTTGAAGAAGTTTCTCTGATTTCGATAAATGTTCTTCCACTTCGCTCAGTTCTTTCTGGGCATCTCGATACATTTTACCTGTTTCAGATATTGTCTTTTTGGAATTGTCAAGTTCTTTTTGGGTATCAGAATGCATTTTTTGAGTTTTGTTAATTGTATCTCTAGCTTCCCCCAATTCCTTTTGGGTTTCTAAGTAGAGTTTTTGGGTCTGTTCTACAATCTGCTTATATTCGAAAACTTCATTTTGATATTCTTTGTTGCTTTTTTCTAACTTTTCGAATCTATGCTGTAGATCTTTCAATTCTTTCTCAAACATTCTTGCTTTCTCTGCTTCTAGTTTTTGTTGGTTTTCACACTCTTTAAGCCTTTTATTTTCGTTGGTCATATCAGCTATCTTACGACTAATATCGGATATTGTTTCTTGGCAGTTGCTGAGTTCTGCTCTTAAGGCTTTATTTTCTTCGTTTATGTCATATAAGCTTTCTGTTTTCTGAAGTTCACTCTGTAATCGATTTTCAGCCTTTTCCAACTCAAATTTTAATTTTTTATTCTGTTCTTGAGATTTACTTAGTTCGTATGATTCATCACTGAGTTGTTTTTCTAACTTTTTAATCTTTTCATTGGCAACTTTTAATTTTTCTAGTAATTCCTCTTTCTCGGTAGACAGTTCATCGAACTTTTTATTAAGGTCACTTATTTCGCTCTCAGCTTCTTTCTTTGATTTCTCAGAACTTGCTCGGAGTTTCCTAATTTCATCTTCTTTTCTACCCATCTGAGAACTGAATGCTTTAAGTTCGCTCTGTAAGTTACATATAGCTTCGTAAGATCTGCTTAATTCTTTTCGTAACTCACTATTTTCGCCTTGAACACTTTCCAACATATCTTTGAATTTTTCTTTTTCGACATCAACTTGAGAATATTTCTCTAAGTCTTCTTGCAGTTTTTTATTCAATATATCAACTCTGCTTTTCTTATCTTGCATATCTTCAAACTTATTTTTCCAAGATTTAGCGGTATCATTTGCTTTCGTGAGCTCGGCTTGCAGGTCTTGATTCTGTTTTTTAAACTCATTCTCCATTTTGTTGTATTCAGAAATCTTCTTTTCAATTTTATCCAGTTCTCTTTTATATCTCTCATTTTGTTCTTGTAATTTCATGATTTGAGAATTCAAATCATCTCTTTGTTTCTGAACATTGGACATCGTTTCATACGCTTTGACAAGTTCCATTCGCAGTTCCTTATTCTCTGAAGCAGAGTTGTGCAACTCTTCAGAATACTTATTAGATTCAGCGTCTAATTTTTCTTTCAGTGTTTCGATTTCAGTTCTCAACTTCCTGTTTTTCTCTTCATGAGTCATACAATCATTCTGAGAATCTTCCAGTTGCAACTTCAGACTGGATACTTTCTCATACAAATTTGCCAACTCTGCTTTCAGCTCTTTGTTTTCAGCAGTCAAGTTTTGAAGTTGGTCTTCCAGCTTCTTCATCTCTTTATCTTTCTCCTGTGACTTCTCCAGTTTTAATCTCAACAGATGATTATTTTCTTCAGCTTTTTTCAGCTCATTATTAGACTCATCTAACTGCTTTTGGATGTTATTTACCTTTTCATACAGTTTTTTCGTTTCGGCTCTTAATTCCGTATTTTCATTGTTGGCTTGATACAATTTATCTTCCACTTTGGACAATCGAGACTGAGCTTTCTGGCTTTTCTCTAATTCTATTTTAAGTTTATTAATTTCATCTTCTGCTTTTGAGAGTTCAGACTGATATTTGTCCAGCTGTTTCTGAATACTTGAAACAGTCTCATATGATTTGGCTAATTCCACACGTAGTTCTTTCTTTTCAGAGTGCGCATTCAAAAGTTCTTCTTCTACTTTTATTAATTCACTTTCGACTGTCCTCTGAGACTTCGCTTGTTCTGTTTTAAGTTTAATATTTTGATCTTCTACTGTCTTCAATTCTCTTTCCAAATCATCCAACCTCCTCTGCAAATTTGAAACAGTTTCATATGTCTCGGCCAATTCCATACGAAGTTCTCTGTTTTCGGCATTTGCGCTGAAAAGTTGCTCTTCTATCTTTTCTAATTCGCTTTCAGCTTTCTGGGATTTGACTTGCTCGTTTCTTAAAACTTTATTTTCTTCCATCAAAATTTTTACGTCTTTCTGTAAGTCATCGAGTTGTTTTTGCAAACTGGAAGCATCTTCGTACGATTTTGCTAATTCTACTCTCAAATCCCTTATTTCGGAATTAGCATTCAGAAGTTCTTCTTCTGCTTTCAATAGTTCCGTTTCGAAAGTTCTCTGCGAACTTGCTTCGGATTTTAATTTCCGATTATGTTCTTCTGCTCGTTTCAAATCACTCTGAGAATCTTCCAGCTGCCTCTGAATGTTAGTTATCGTTTCTAAGGACTTTGAGAGTTCTCTTCGCAAATCTTTATTTTCAGATAAAGCTTCTTCTAACTGTTGTTCAAGTCTCTGAATTTCTCGTTTCATCCTTTGAAGCTCCATATGAGAATAATCCAACTCAACTCTTGACTTTTGTTGATATTCTTCAGTTTTACCTCTTACTGTTCGATGATGATCTAACTCTCCCATAGTTTCCTTCAGTTTAGCTTCCAATCTATCTTTGTCTTCAACATTTCTGCGCACATCTGCTTGAGCCCTTTCAAATTTGTCTCTAAGGCGGTCAACTTCTCTTTGCAATTTATCAATTTCACCTTTGTTACTTGTCTGATCCTTAAGATGTCGCGATAAAGATTGTTCCGAATCTTCTAAGTCTTGCTTCAGTTTAACTATCTCTGTTTGCAATCTACTATTTTCTGCCACAGATTTGTGTAATTCTGCTTCAGATTTGTGGAGAAGTGCTCGAATACGTTCAGTTTCCGCTTTTGCCCTCTGGAGATCGGAATCCGAGGCGTGCTGACTAGACTGCAGATTGTCTAACTGAGCACGAAGTTGACCGACAGTAGTTTGGAAAGTTTTTGCTTCTGTTTCGAATATATCTTTCTCTTCTTGAAGTTTCTTCATATCGGCTTGACTTCTCTCATATCTGTCCTTCACTTTTTCTAATTCAAATTTCACTTTCTCCACTTCTTGTTTTTGTCTGTCTTCAGATGTGGCATGCCTCTCAGCTTTCAGCTCAGCAACTTCTAAATCGTGTCTCATTCTCTCTATTTCCATGTGGTGTTGATGTTTCAACTCTTGAAACTTCTTCAGTTCGTCTTTGTTGGATTCAATTTTGGTTCTCAGTTTTTCTATCTCATTGCGAAGTTTGGAATTATCTTCTAACTGACGATTCTTCTCTCTTTCTATTATGTTCTTTTCGTTCAAAAGTTTTTCCGCTTCAGACTGAAATTTAAGGCATTCTGAAATTGATTTTTCTTTTTCTCTTGAGCATTTTTCTAAATCACTTGTAGTTTTCTCGTATTTATCTTTGAATTTCTCGATTTCGTTCTTCAAATTTTCTATATCAAGCATAGCTTTTTCTTGAGCGGTGTGATGTTTTAGCATCTGGCTCTGATACCTCTCAACATCGGATTTGAGATTCGAATTTTCAGTTAAAAGCCTATCTTTCTCGGCATGCATTCGACTTAACTCCGCTTGAAGTCTCTCTAATTTCTCTCTCAGTTTTTCAACTTCAGATTGAGACTTTGATAATTCTTCTTGCGATTTTTCATGATTTGTTTGAGTTTTTCCTATCTGTGCTTGCACTCGATTTAATTCATTTTTAAGGCTATCTACTTCTGAATGCAGCTTGTCCAATTGTGTCTGAGATTTACGCAGTGCTTCCTGAGATTTGTCGTATTGCTCTCTTATAACATTCAATTCCATTTGACATCTATCGAAATCCACTCGTAATTTTTCTTCCGACTCCTTTGATATCGTCAGCTGTGCGGCAGTTCTGGAATGGATCTCTCGAAGTTTCTCCAACTCCTCAACAGAACTTTTATACTCTTCTTTAGTTTTGTTAGAAGTTAACTGTGATTTTTCTAACTCAAGATTAAGTTTTTCCATATCTGTGCGCATTTGATCTAATTTTGCCTGGAGTTTATAAATTTCAGAATGAGATTTTTCAGATTTTTCTAATAATCTCTCATATTCTTTCCTACTCGAATCACGTTCTTCTTGAGCTTTTAGCAACTGCGATTGAAGCTTTTCTACTTGCTCTTTTAAAGATTTAACTTCTTTCTGAGAGGAATCGTAATCATTGTAGTACTTCTCTAATTGATTTTGTGTTTTCTCAAGTCGGTCTTTGACAACATCGAATTCGGCTTGAGAATTATCTTTGTCCTTCAAAGCTTTGTTCAACTGACCTTGCAAGAGATCCGTTTTCTCTTGCAATTTTTCCATCTCGGAGTTGCATAGATCTTTTTCCTTCTGCAGCCGCTGAAGAGAAGCTAAGGTCTTTTCGTATTTCTCCTGACTCTTTTCAGCCTCCATCTCAATCATCTCTTTTTCCTTCTGGAATTTTAAAGTGTTCATCTGCGCTTGGCTCAGTTGAGTCTGAAGGCTCTCCAAATCTGACTGGGCCCGTTCTCGTTCGGCTTGCATTCGACGTATTTCTGCATTCGCTTTATCTAGCTTCTCTTGAATACGGTCAGTTTCCATCTGAGCCTTATCAAGAGCTGATTGTGTCTTCTCGTGTTGTGACTGACTTTTCGAAAGCAGAGCTTGAACACGGTCAAGTTCTGTTCTGAGCTTTTCTGCTTCAGCTAATGCTGTATCCCTTTCGGTTTGAGAACGAGCTACAGTCGCTTGCACTCGATCGTATTCCTCCTGTATGCTTTCCTTATCTGCTTGAGCATTCTCCAATTTGGCTTTGAGACGGTAGATTTCACCCTGAGACCGTTCAATTTTTTCTTGAAGTTGCTCGACTTCCCCACGAGATCGATCCTGCTCAGCTTGATGCATTCGATACTCAGCTTGAACTCTACGTAGTTCAGTCTGTGCCTTTTCTAATCGATCTTGGAGTCGCTCATATTCTTCAGTCTGGTATACATGAGACTTCCCGAAAGTATTTTGAGACCTATCAAGATCGGATTTTAAACGCTCAGACTGCTCTCGTATTCTCTCATTCTCTAAGGCAAGTCTAGCAAGCTCACTGCGGCTTCGCTCCGTTTCACTCTGGAGCTTCAACATCTCGGACTGCATCTTCTCCAGCTCAGCCCTAGCCTGACCTAATTCGGACTGGGAATTTTCAAGTTTAACTTCAATGCGATCTTTCTCGGCGGCTGCTTTTTCTAACCTCACCTGTAATTTCTCCATGTCGCTTTCCATCCCGTGCATTTTCATCTTGAATTCCGCGATTTCACGTTCGTGCAACTCCCTCTCTTCGTTCTTTTCTTGTTCGGCTCGATCCCTCTGTTCTCGCAGCTGCTGTATCTGCTTGTCCTTGTCCCCAATGGCTTCTTCTAAACTGGAAAGAGCACCTTCAGAAGAGGAGTGATGTGCTTGCATAGCGGTCAGTCGAGCTCTGGCCATGTCTACTTGATTGTCTTTCTCTTTCAAAAGGTCCTCTAGATTTTCAATCTACATGAATATTAATAATTAAAAATTCATTAATGAATAATACTCCACATGCAGAAGCAAATTAAATATTACATTAACTTTTAGTTAAGAGATTTTTCAATAAATCAATAAACAGTTTTCTGATTAATTATACACTCTTAGACCCCCCCCCCAAAAAAAAAGACGCACCACGAACGCAACGAAAAGATATAAAGCGAATTGGACACAAATCGATATGCATACAGGTTTCGATAGAAAATGCAAAATTTTACATTTTGGCTGCTAATGAATGAACAGTTGTCGCTACAGCGCATCTGATCTGCGCAACTGGCAGGATATTAAGGAGAAATTACAATTCCAGGTCATAAATTCTTCACGAATTTCATTCCATGTACTCTGGTAGACAGAAACTATGCCTCGCATACGGGTGCGCGGACGACATGCGCGGATGTCAGAATTTGAGAGAGGTCGTGTAGTTGTGCTCAAAGAGTTCGTTCGTTCGTTATCGGCGAATAGCTCGACAATTGAGCAGGAGCGATGCCACTATTAGACGATGTTGGCAGGAATGGGTTAACCATGGCCGCACACAGCGTCAAGAAGGAAGCGGTAGGGCTAGAGAAACGACAGAACGTGAAGACCGAGCAATCGTCAGAGCGGCACTCATAGGCCCTGATGCATCATTATCATCGATTGTACGTGCAATTAGTGCTTCAGTGACCGCAAGGACCATTCATGAACGGCTCACAGAAATGGGGCTGAGGTCACGACGCCCCTTGCGCTGACTACCATAGAGCGCTGTACAATGTCAAGCTCGTTTGCAGTGGTGTCGGGATCATTCGCACTGGAATGTCACTGACTGGAGTAGAATAGTCTTCAGTGATGAGTCCCGCTTTGAACTGAGCCCCAATGACCAGCGAAGGCGAGTCTGGAGACGCCCCGGACAGCGGTGTGATACCAACCTGACTGTCTTCCGGCAGACAGGACGACAACCAGGAGTGATGGTCTGGGGTGCCATTTCATTTCATAGTAGGACCCCTTTGGTTGTCATTTGTCACAACCTTACAGCACAGCGGTACGTCGACGAAGTTCTAAGGCCCGTTGTATTGCCCTTCATGTCACATCAACCTGGGCTTACATTTCAGCAAGATAATGCCCGTCCCCACACTGCACATGTTTCTACTGCTTGCCTTAGTGCTTGCTGAACATTACCTTGGCCAGCAAGGCTGCTGAATCTCTCTCCTATTGAGCACGTTTGGAGCATTATGGGTATGACCCTCCAACCAGCCCGGGATGTTGACGACCTAACGTGCCAGTTGGACAGAATTTGGCAAGATATCCCTCCGGAGGACATCCACAATCTCTGTCAATCGATGCCAAGCGGAATTACTGCTTGCATAAGGGCTAGAGGTGGAAAAACGCATTACTGTCTTTTTCATTTTGAGAAGCTCTATCACTTCAGTAAATCAACCAGTTTTTCTCAAACTGTAATTATTTGTTTTTCTGTACATGTACATCACTTCTACCGATTATCGTCCCATTCGGATAACTCCTTCTCGGTGCGTCTTCTTCTTCTTCTTCTTCTTTTTTTTTTTTTTTTTTTTTTTTTTTTTGTCTAAGAGTTTATACGATCACGGATACACTGATAAGAATACATAAATGTAACAGTTTATACAATATGCGCTGCTCTGTGACAATTTTATACAAAGCAGAGCATATTGTTTAAATCAGTTGTAATTGGCAACTTTGCTAGAATTGAATGGTGTATGTGTAGCATACTTGCAGCTATGGAGAGCTAAGAGGTATTTTGATTATGAAGTACCTTTGCAAATAATTACAATTACCCTCCACACATCGTTTATAAGAATTTGAATTAAATAAGAGAAAGCAAGTCGCTAAAGAAAAAGATGAAAAGCCGCTGGGCTAAAGTCAGGAAAATCGATAAGAAGTCCTATTTTTTAGGACGAAGAAGTTAAGTACCTGCAATGGTCCCAATAGATGGACGATTATTCCCCCGTTGCGACGCGAAGACAGGTAGCTTTTAGGAGTATACCATGAACTACTGACCAGTGCACTTTCCTGACTGCGCTGATGAAAGCCTTCCACTCAAGCAGACTCAGTAACAGATTTTCAGTGGGTATTGCGGCAGAATAACAAAAATTGTCAGAATAAATGGGAAAAACAGTTATTGGATACAGTTTCATTCCAACATACAGGATGACACAGAGGAAAGTACAGATTTGGCTGTACTGTGGCAGACATTTTCAAATTGCCCAATTCGCTTTGGCGATTTGAATTGACCATATCTTTCTCTTACTTGACAGCTCCGGACTGCTTTTTTAGTAGTAATGAATCTTTGCCAATCGTTTCTGAACGACTGACAAACTGAAGACTGCTACTAGCTGTGAAGTACGCCGAAAGGCATGTTGAGATACGTCATTCCTGCTGTATAGCGTTCATGCATCTTTCTCGAATAATGCATTTAAGCAGAAAGAGGATATTATTTTCACTGATGTTTACCATATAGCATATTAAATGTCTATGTGTACAATGTTATTCAACAATTGCATAAAGTTACTACAACTATTCACTGTTTTTATGTTGTAGTTTAAAGTTATACAATATAAGCCATTTTAATATTATAATCAGAGTATTAACTTCATAAATTTCTTCCGATTATATGTGGGTTATAAATACCTAACATAACCTCCAGATCAACACACCATTGACGTTCTATAACATATTGGTATCTGAAACGTTTCAGATTTTAATGGTCAAGCAAACATGTTTATTAAGGTTATTTAACGCTCTCGCTGAGCTCGCAGTCTACCAAACTGCTGTTACATTCACTCCTAATAACACCCCCCCTTTTTTTGTCTTTTTTAGTTTTATTATTAAGCATCCTTTTCTTCGAACTTAGCCCATATACAATTCAATAGCAAAATTACAAAAATTTTAAAAGCAGCATAGCAGTATACGTTTAAAATTCTTGACGCAGCGTTAACCCTTTGCGGCACAGTGTGTCCGATCTGGACACACCTAAAATTTTCCTTCTGTACGCACAGAAAAACTGAATGAAAAAAGATTTATAGGTTACTATAGGTTACTCTGAACCTTCTTTGTTTATACTAGATGGCAGCTCAACACAAACCAGTCCATATATTTTAGCCATGTTTAGTTTTTTAAGAACCTCATTTTTCAAAGAAATCTTCCAGATTTTTTTAGGGTATAAAAGGAATTGTTTGAAAAGAAATTTCTATGTTATTTTTTTTGGCTGTATGCTAATCACCTTATTCTATATTAGTTTTAAATTTTTACCTTGAAATCTTGCCTAAAATCAAACGGCGAACCTTAGGTGTGCCCAGGCTGGGCTCACCGATAATCTGGGACAGCTGAGAGTCTGTATTCTTTGTTGCTCTGCATCTCATCGGTCAGTTCATTGACAACAATGCTCATTTCAGCACTCATTTCGAAGCTCTATTCAATCAGTGTGCCACTTTGGGCACACACACAGAATGAAAAGATAAGTGCTATCTTCACAAAATTTTACTTGTGTACTCCTCTAGGCCTAATTAGACATCCTACCTTTCTTTTTATCAAAACTCCAACTTTAAAAGATAGCGTGCCGGAAAGGGTTAAGTGTTGGCATAACATTTTTCAGTTTTTTTAGTCTTTTTTCAGTTCATCATATTGTTCGTATTTGTTACTAAGATGACATACGCTGTTTATTTTATCTTTTTATTACTAACTTCTGTGTTTTTAACTTTATTTCTTAAACATCGCTTTCTTCGCATTTACCCCACATAAAATTCATATACTGGAGATAATTTTTTTTTTTTTTTTTTCTGTACAGTGATGCCACTGCTCGCTTTGAAATAGCTCAGTTTGTTAATCAACCATTAAAATTCGTGCTTCCAGGTGCCCATGTTCGGGTGGAGGACTACGTTATTCAAAATTTGATGGTTGTAGGTAGTGTTGTTTTTCATGATGCGAGAAACATACATACATTTACGCAGATTCTTCATTATTTTATTTCTTTAACTATAATACAGTTAATACAGGGTTCTAATATTTGGTGGCTACAATCTGAAAAGTAATACATCGCACTTAAATGATTCAACGCAAAATGCCGTTTCGAGACTATTAGCTTTTATGGGCTAAAAAATAATAAATGTTTCTTAATTGTAAAATTGAAAGATAAATTAATATTAAAATGGATTAGGCATTCAAACCTTCCTCTGAAGAACATTAATCTTTCTGTCTTTAATTTCCATGTGGTCCCTGAGTTCTTGCACTTCTTGTTGTAACCTGTTCCTTTCCTGAGTAGAGGTCATAGTTTGTTGAGTTTTCTTTTCGATAAGCTTGTTCTTCTCTTCCAAACGTACCCTCAATTCTTCCACCTGATGAAAGAGTGAGAAAATGATGATAATCAATATAAACAAGACACTATTTTATGAAAAATATGTAGTATAAAGTCAGATATTCGAAAATGTCGGAACAGAATTTCGGAAATTTCCGAATTTTAGATCATCAGTTTAAATCTAGTAAGATGACATGAAGACATGGAGACACTGTGGCTTCGCTTATTGTTTATGTCAGACAGAAGAATGCCAACCCTTCAACAGTACCTGCGCTGCATCACGCGGCAAGAACTTACAGGAGCATCCAGTAAAACTGTCAGGGACGAAAAAATGTTTTGAATTAAGGAAAGTATAGTTTGACCATAGCAACCACGATAGTAAACATACATGCGCCATTCGGACCGATTTATTCATGAACTAGGGAGGTTGGACATAAAGTATGTAGTAGGGAATTTTCCATTCTTATTTTTTTCCTGTTTATTTTCTCAGCGTTCAAAGAGCACAGAATTAAGGCAAAACTTACTTTTAACTAATCTAAGCCGAAATATGATCATCATTTGTAATTAACTGTTTTCACTGCATTATGTTTAATTTTGTAGATTTATTTATTTAGTGGTAAAAAAGCGAATGTTTTCAAAATTTAATTTTGTTATATATATATACATAATTTAGTGATAAATCGTAGTAAATAATTTGTATTGTCTCACAATTGTTATTATAATTACTTAATTGTTATATTTTATTATACAATTTTCATTATATTATTAATGCATTGAATTCTAACGATACACACACTGGCCAATTAGAAACCCGAGATCAATACTTTAATGGACCACCGTTTGCAAGGATAACTGCTCTGATTCGTTTGGGCATCGAGTCTACATGCTTCTGGAGTGCATTTACGTCCAGAGGATACCATGCATTGGCTATGAAGCCTTTTTAGATCTTGTAAATTAGATGAAAGAGTGCTGTTGGATGTGTCTTTCCACCATATCCGACACATTTTCTATGGAGTTAAGATTCGGGCTATGCGGTTGCCAGGGGCGGTGTTGGAAGTTAGATTGATGTTCAGCGAACCAATTTTAAAGACTTTTGACACGATGTATAGTTACATTATCGTGCATCAATCCGTCGCCGTCAGGCTAAAAATGCAACATTGCAGGGTGCACTTGATCTGCCAGTATATCTAGGTATCTCATGGCTGTTTGTTTACCCTCGAGGAACAACAGGACACCACTTCCATGCCCGTAGAACATGCCCCTTATCATGATAGTCCCACCAGACCCTTGCACAGTGCGAGTAAGGCAAGATGAATTCACGGCTTTTCTGAGCTTTCTAAATTCGACGTCTTACATCAGTGCAATAAGGTGTAGCGTGATTTATCCGACCACATTACCCATTTCCAATCGTTAGGTATCTGGTGTCTTCTTTACCGACATCACTGTAAAAAAATTCTTGCATGTCGGGCAGAAATGAGTGGTTTTTCTCACAGCCACCAGTGACTGGAACAATTTTATTAGAGATTTGTTAGCTAGATTTACTTCAGCAACTGAAAGGACAAATAGGTGGGTCTGGAAAAATTATTGAAATTGACGAGAGCTTGTTTATGCGACGAAAAAAAAAACGCTGGCAGAGTATTTCCACAACAGTTTGGATATTCGGCGGGTTATGCCAGAAAAGTGGCGAGTCTTCTGTTGTTCATGTTCCATATCGGGAAGCAAGCAAACTGACATCGACGTCTATAGATCACGAAGTGATACACGTAGTGATCGGCAATATATTCAGATTGCTGGTGAGCTATAAAACAGAAGAGCTTGAAAAAGCTGATTACAGCCATTTAACTGTGATTAAAATTTACACATTATTTTAATTTTGGTGATCCAACAACAGATGCTCGCTCCCAAAATGTGGAAAGATTGAAGAAAGCTCTGCTAAATGGCGAAACAAAAAGAAAAGGGGTAAAGTTCGACATAATCTAGAGTCGTATCTTTCGGGATTCATGCGGGAAAATCTTCTGGGAAAGATGAGCCTTTTGCTGCTGTATTTAAAGCAATTTAAGTAAGAAATCTAAAAGTAGTTTAAACTAAAATGCTGTTTTGATAACAGGAACCGTGAAAATCAAATACCGAAATCTAAAGACAGTTATCGTTTATATCTATCATAAAAGCATTGATTGGAACATGATTGTTTTGATCCCAGTTCAGAAATAAGAGTTTTTCTAGCTCACTGTGAATTTATGTTACTATTTACCCATTAATTATTCGCAAAACAAATTTCCCGAAACACACATACTAGGCATTGTATAAATAAATTTTTAAAAAATAAAAGGGAAAAAATTTTAATGCCATTTTCAAAATTCACATGTACAGTTTAAACGGTTACAATTAAAACTGCAAAGTTATTTACATAACATAATATCATAACCTATGATGAACTTTTAAGGAATATTATCAAAAACCTGAGAATTTCCGATGCATTTTTAAAACTGGTATGAAACAATTTAAAAAGAAAATTAAGACTTTAAAGTTATTTACATCTGCCTGAAGCATATTGTAATGCTCTTCTTTAGCACACAGAGACTCCTTTAACACCGCTATATGCCGTTGGTAATCATGATGTTGCTCTTCCAGTGTCTTCATCTTGGCATTCATGGCCATTATTTCTTGATCTCTTCTATTTAGTTCTATCCTCAGCTCTTCCATCTGAAAAATATTGTTCTAAATAATTCACATATATATAACTAGCCGCTGGTGCGGCCGGCCACATAAAAAAATAATTATAAGAAAGAACAAAATATATAATGATTTTAATCAGTTAGTGTATTTTCATAAATTTAGTTAATATTTCTAATTAGATATCTTATAAGGTATTTTTCCCGCCTTCTCAGCATGCCTTCGTGGTGTAGTGGTCAGTAAGCTCGGCGCGTATTCGAGGTCCGTGGTTCAATTCTTTACAACGGCACTGCTCACTTTTCCATCTCCTGCTTCGAAAAAACAAAAAACCTAATGTCTCTACAGTGGCGCCCGAACTAAAAAAGGTGGTGGATGATGATTCTCCGTCCCAGGATTTCACGATTGGGTCCTCTAATCCCAAGTCGCCCTTTAAAAGAGGGAGTATATACGGTAATTCTCCCGCCTTCTTAGCATGCCTTCGTGGTGTAATGGTTAGCACGCTCGACGCGTATTCGAGAGGTCCGTGGTTCCGAGTCCTGGCAAGGGCATTGCTCATTTTTCAGGTCTACCACATTAAAAAAATACCCTAATATATCTACAATCTTGACATTTTTATTTAAATCAATCAAATTAAAAAGTAGAGAAATATTTTTGAGAACTACGTTTGTTGCTTTTTAGTCGCTTGGTTTGTTAATCAATAACAAATATATTAAATTTAAAAGTTAAATACCTTACACTTTACTGAATGGCAACACGCTGGAGCAAGGCTGAAAACTGACTGCTGTCGGAAACTGTTGATTGTTGTCGGAAGTATTTTATTTCCGACAACTGGTCATTGGTCATCAGGACACAATAGGCATTTAGCATTTTAAATATGCTTTTACATATATTTGAAGTTTTTCCCCGAAGGCGCTGGTGTTATTTAAATGTTTAAGAGCACAGGATGCTCACGTTGAAAAGGCGAATCCATGAACGAGTGACGCCAGTAGCGACTAAAAGTGTCTTTAACTGAAAGCGAGAGATTTAATCACGAGCTTGACTTGTTTGTAGGGGGAACGCCATCAGTGAAACTATGAAATACTATAACTATGAAACTATAGTTACTATGAAAATATAATTTCGAGTTGGAGAACACAAATTTCTTGTAATATTTGGTGCTGTAATTTTACATTTGAAACTATACCGATCTGACGATGAAAATACACAATACAAAGCACTAAGCCCAAATCCTGTTTAGTCAGTTATTGCAAAGTCTGTAACCCGCTTTGGATGATAATAAATGAATACATGAAGAACAAAGTATCTGCTTTGTAAACACTTGAGGAAAGAGTCCATAACCTGCTCTGTTAGAATGTAAACACACAAGAAAGATGATTCGTCCGTGTCAGTCACGTAGATGGTCGCCCACCCAAATGCTGACCACGGAAATGATGCTGGAGAATTTGAAGATTTAAGCTTGAGGAACATATAAAAATTTACCATTTTAGGTTGTGATGAATGGTTCTTGGCGTTTTGACCAGTATGTTCAACAGTTGGGTCACAGTTTACAAGTTCTTTTATGTGGTGGGATTCTGAATTTTGCATTTTCTGGAAAAAAGTTACGGCAAGCAGAAAGTATTTCGTCATGTATGGAATCAATCTTCATTTCTTTAAGTATTTGCTTGTTCCGAACATACCATGGGGCGTTTAAAATCATCCTTAGTAATTTATTTTGGAAAACTTTTAATTTTTTACGATAGGTTTTAGCAAAGTGCTGCAGGCAGGAATAGCATATAGTAAAATGGGTCGAATCATAGTTAGATATAGCATACGTTTTGTTCTTATGTGAAGTTTCGAGTTTCTTCGTAGGAGAGGAAAGAGTTTAATGACCCCTGAGTTAGCTTTTCGTAATGCATTCATAGTTATTCTTTAAACAATAGATTTTCATCAAAGAGCATACCTAAGTATTTAATGGAGCTATTAATTGGTATTTGCACATTATTAATTTGAATATCAATGTCGACAGGAGTATTCTTTTATATCTTCTAAAAATAGTGACGTTACATTTATTCGGGTTTAATTTAATTCTCCAGGTCTAGAACTAATAATCAGTGCTGTTAACTGCGAACTTTAGTTTGTCAATAGCGAGTTGCGGTTTTAAAGACTTTGTAAGGACGACAGTATCATTAGCACATTTAGCGATTTTTGCATTTGATGGCTGCGGCATGTCATTGATAAAGATGTTAAGTAGGGACTGGAATCATTTATAAAGTGTAGTAGTATGAAACTACTACACTTTGATTTTAGCCAAAAGGTCTATTCCGTAAGCTTAGCTGATGACAACAAGATTTATACCTTACAGAAGAGAAACCCCTAACGTGCATCTGAACCTTCACTTCTTATGTTTACTAGTTGTTATGTGAAGATGGCCCTGTGAAAATTTCTAATCTCTGAGTCATCTCCACAATAACTGTGCTTCTTCGAATTATGACACTACTTCACAAATAAACATTCTTTCACGGATAATATAGGCTTGATAACTTACTTATCCCTAGTTTTTTCCCCAGGTAACAACATGACTGATCTTCCCTCCCCAATAGTTTTTCAGCGTTTTAAGCACATTCGGCCAAATTATAAACTACCTAGTTATGGAAATTTAAGAAATTATTAATTTCTTTTTAATAGAGAGGACAGTGGACTTTGTGCTTGCGGGGATAGTGTAAAAGATGTAGGGCATATCTTAATACACTGCAGGGTATATGCGAGTACCAAAACTACGTTTAGGACGAGTTTAAAGCATCTCTCCATTTGATGGCCTCCTGTTTCCCCCCCCCCCGAACTTCTCAAAAATTCTGAGGGCAAGTTTATTTGTTGTTTAGGCTTTTATTATTATTATTATTACTATTATTTTTTATGTACTATTGCATTATTATCTTCTTTAAATACATCATTATATTATTATTGTATTTATCTACGTATTATTATTTTCGATATAATTTTTTATTATTATTATGATACATATAATATATGATACAAATATTATGATACATATAATATTATGATACACATTTATTATTATGAACATAATATTACTTCACGCATTCCTTACAGTATTATTATTATAACTTTATTACTATATTTCAGTGTACTTTTTATAGTAGTATTTGTATTATTATTACAAATATTCCTTATTCTCTTTAAATCTTGGTATGTATTATTGTTGCATTATTTTTCCTTTATATTATTGAATTATTTACTTACTTCTGTAAGCCTTGTCGCATAACTCGTGGAACACGGAGAATTTTGCATTTGTTTTCTTACATAATAATAAAAACAAATAAACAAAATAAAATAAAATCTTAAAGCTTTCAGATTTCATATTACGTCCAAACTGGCGTTCCCTCCCCATTTACAAACCCATACACGTTTCGAGATCATTTGGGCTAACACCACTAAAAATATTTAACTAAAAATTTGTACTAAAAATATTTAAAATCAGTATACCTTTATCTATAATCCGATAGACAGTCTTTAGAATTTCCGATAGACAGTCTCGCGCATTGGAGATAGAAAAGTTTAATTCCCTACAGTGTTGCAAATGCTCCTTTTGAAATTGTTGAGATATTTAATCAAACATTTGTTAAAGTTTTACAAAATATGAAATAGACAATAAAACAAATTACAAATTCGTGCTTCCAGGTGTCCATGTTAGGGTAGAGGACTATGTTATTCAAAATTTGATGACTCTAGGTACAGTTGTTTTTGCGCAATGCGAGAAACATGTATACATTTATGTAGATTATTTATTATTTAGTTTCTTTAAATATAGGGTGATAATATTTGGTGGCAAGAGTTTGAAAAGCGATTCGATGCAAAATGCTGTTTTGAGACTAATCACCCTTCTGGGCTAATGCCCATTTGGGATAATTATTATTATTTTTTTTAATGTCTGTAATGACTCGACTTTAAAAATAGAATACGGACTTTTTTTTATAAACAATACACATTTCAACTAATCATCAAGCATACCGATAAGAAGTCTCGAATAACACATAGTTAGTTTAACCGAGTAAACATCTTAACCATCTATAATTCGTTGATAACCATCTTCATTTTTTCCACAATGTGGACATCCAAAGACCCAGATGGATCCCCCGAAGTAGACTCAATTCTTTCGTTGTAGCGTCCTAGAAGTTTTGTGAAAACTAAAAATTCAGAAGTTACGCGAGAAACATTTCACAGGAGCAAGATCACTGAAGAAAATCGTAACCATAATCAGCAAAAGGTGGTTCGTGGTTTAAGCAAAACATCATACATCAAGCCGGGGGTGGATTAAAAATTAAACAATATAAGCACGTGCTTAGGGCATCCAGGAAAGCAGGTACCACAAAATGGTCCTCAGATATTCAGAAAAGGGGACACCTAAAAACTTTCGATGCCGATTTTACAGTGGAATGCATTGTAGTTAAACCAGAACCCCGACAGCGAAGGAATGAAGGGAAAACTCTCGTAAACCTACGCGGGGGGGCCCCACAATCTTATAATCTATAAAAAGTCTTAATCCAGCTTATAGTCTCTAGCCTAACAATATCTTTAAAAAAATCATAGAAAAATAGTTTTATTTCAAAATTTAAAAGAGGTACGAATTTTCAAATTCAGAAACAAACATAAATTATAATTTCGAAACTACTAATTTTAGATCAAATTTTAATTTCAGATAAGTCTCAATTTTAATTCGCAGTAAACAATCTTCAAACGAAAATTATTGAAAGCTTACCTATACTATTCACTTCAAATAATAACTAACTCATTACATTACCTAATGTCATAATTGCAATACCTAGAAACTAAAGTTTCAATTAATCTCTTTAGACTCAATCTTATAAAAAACAATGACTCTGCATTTTAGAAATTTATTTTTCTAACATCACAATGAAAGTTGCTGCTGAAAGCAACATCTACATCAGTTGACATAATATCTCTAGTCTTGATGAGATAAGGGTCAAATATCACAAAAGCCTTCCAAGTGCTGTAAAATACGTACCTTTGAAAATAATTCCTTCGCATTTTCCTCGATTTTACTTTTGTCACCATCAGAGAAAGAGCCATTCGAAATTGCATCACCTTGTTTTAAAATTTTCGCTTCAAGTAGTTCAATTTCCCCTTCTAAAATGCTGATTCTAGATTCCTAATAGTGTGTATTTCATGCAATGATATAATGGCATTAATGATCAAAGCAAAAAAATAAAATACATGCAAAATAATGACATTTATGCAACAGAAAAGGATAAGACAAATTCTTTTTAAAAGCATGCCACATGCAAGCTAAAAAGCTCAGCAAAATAAAATACAATTATTAGAAATAATTCTAATGGAAACTTTGCTTTGTAAGTATAGTGGTTTGTAACATTTCTTAGTAAAATTATGTACAATGTATATTAGTGCTTGAAGAGCTTCAAACTTCTTTTAAGAAAATGTTATTAATGTGAGATTGCATTATTTTGCTAACTAGAGGCACATGGGGCTATAGGGAATTCAGGAATTTTTTTCCAGACGACGATGGTGTAAGTCACTAAAGATATCAGTACCTTAATGGTGTCGGTGATTGTTCGTCGACACAGAAGCCACCATAAAGGTGCTGGCACCTTTGAAAAAGATGCTTTCTTCAAGTTACAAATTGAACTTCATAACAGAACTGAAACTTTATATGGGGATTTCGCGAAGACTCCTAATAATGATGCCCTGATATAAATGTGCTAGCACCTCCAACGAAAGTTACTATCTTCAAGTCATAAAGTGAACTTAATAATGGTACCGTCTTCATGAGGGTGTTCGTCCCTTTATGCCAGACCATCTTTGACAAACAGTGGCCCATGTGTATAGAAGTACCAGCACCTTTGTGATGGAGAATTTGACAGAAGTTTCTTTCTTTAAGTTATAAATTGAACTTTATAAGGCTTCAGCACCTTTCTGCATATTAGCGACTATTCACTAAAATAAAGACTCGATCATGGGCGCATCGGCATCTTGATGAAAGTTGTATTCTTCATGGTATAAACTTAAAATCCTCTGGGTGACGGCACCTTTATTGAAGTCGACGGCTGTTCACTTAGATCTTTACGTAGGCGTTCAGGAATCTTGATGACAGTTGCCTTCTTTATGGTATACATTATGCTTCATTAAGTGCGTCGAAAACACCTTCTGTCTTGATGAACATTTGCTAACTAGAAAGATGTCGGTGCCTTTATTAGAATCGGCAGCTATTCATTTCGACCATCAAAGGAAGATCCCGTAAAGTAAATTCTTTATTGTATATACTGGACTTCATAAGGGTGCAGAAGACCTTGCAAATTCATGTTGCGGTGCCTTTGTACCTTGGAGAATGCTAGCTAATTTGCATCATAGGTGACGGCACAATTGTGCAAAATGTCAGATCACCTCCATCCGTCCTGGTCACGTCATTCCATTGGTTACAATCCTTTTTAATAATCTGTTTCTGACAATTTTGGCCACAAGAAGAGGAAAGCAAATGAGTGTTAGCTTCCAGTTGGAAATCATTTTACAATAACAGAAAGACAAACTGTGTGAGAAGAAGGTTCCATGTACAAGATCTACTTTACAGAAGATCTTTCGCGTATGTTCCACTAACTCAAGTATTTTGGGTATGCTTGCGCAGGTTAACACGACTGCTGGACAAGACTAACTATGAAGCAAACAACACAACAACTTAGTAACATGCCATATGAAGCAAGCAAAACTGAAACTCAGTCACATGTTATATGAAGCAGTAATTTTCTTAGAAGGATCCAGGTTTCATACACACTACACCTCACGTTGTGTTAAGACCTGGCGAGAAAGAGACACACGATACAACAAATCCAGTAGTCTTGAAAGGGACATCGGTGCAATTGGCCGGCTGCTCCAAACGTTGAAGGAGAAACAGTGCAGCAAACTGGGTGACGGGGTGTGACACAACTGACACGAGATGTGCGTCTGCTGCACGAGACAAGCAACGATGCCTGAGCCGTCATCCGCGATGCTGGATTTGAATTGCTCATTCACCCGCCTACTGGCGTTCTGGAATCATACGTTCTGGAACTTTAAGAACTTTCGTCCTTGAAATTTTCGGTCAGATGATGAAGCATTTGCTTTAAGTGTTTATGGATAATAAATGTGTCTGGATGACGAGTCGCTTTTTGTTGCCAGTATTGACGTTTTTCCAAAACGTTAGCAATGTGTGATTGATGAACATGGATAATACAGTGAATAAATGTATTTAAATTTCTAATAGCTGTTGAATTCTGCAAACTTTTTCTATAACCTGGTATTTACCGTATTTCCTTCAGTATTTTTACTTTTAGCTTTTTAACGGAAGGTTCTGAAAATTGAAAAAATATTTGCGTAATTTTCCCCTGCCTCAATGCGTTCAGAGAAGGAGTACGGTAAGAACAGGTGAGATTCAAGTTATAGCAAAGTAGAAATGAAGGCTGTAGAGTCTAGGTGGGTGAATTTCTATCTGAAAATTGGAGTAGCATTAAACTACACAGAAGAACGGTTCAAACCCTTTATTAAATCTTTGAAAATTTACAATGCGTCAACTCGTCGCTAACAAACTTCGCCTCTGCTTGGGCGGTAACTGAAAGTCAGATAATTGAAACTAAATGTTGAAATATTAACAAATGATAGAACTAGCCTGCAGGGCTCAGCGAAATCCCATAACTTAACCCCCCCTTCGAAGCTAGTGGCAGCAAATAAATGCACTTAAGCCACTTACACCAATAAGCAAACGTGCCTACGGCAGAGACAGTGGCTAGAGCCTAACTCTCCCTTTCTCCTACCAAAACTCTGCTTTTAACTACGCTCTACAAAGTAGAAAATTTGCATTTCGTCACACGCGCTGCATCATTTAACTATTATGGCACTGACAATTAGGGAAATGAAGGCTTATAGAAAAGTCTGAACTAAAAATTTAAATTGTTAGTTAAAATAAATATAAATCCCTACATGGCATTTTACCAGATATTGTAATGTACATTTCTTTCAAAGAAATAATACTGTGATAGATACCTGCAGTTTATCCATTACTTTTCATTTGTTATGATCTTACTGTAACCGTGTACTTGGTAAATTAAATTATTCGGCTAACTTTCCCTTTTCAATTTTAGGACAATTAAATTAATTTAAAAAAAAAAAGCGAAAATACACGAGGTTTGGTTTGGTTTATTTGATTACAGCAAAGCATACTATGGCTATCTGCCTAAGGGGAGGACTTAGGCATATACAAATACTCAAGAAAACTGAATTATGTACACTTTACAAATGGAGAAAACTACGAGAGCACCCATGAATCCTGCTCGCTCGCCCTTAATCAGTCCTAGGTCAGAATTACCAGTGTACAGCGACTTAACAACTCGGCCGTTGGTGGGCTCGAAAATACACACAGAAATAAGGTAATTGTAATTAAAATAATTTTTCGTATTCTTGTAAAATTAAGGTTATGTTCGATTACAGATAGTATTGTTGCTGCTGTTTTTGACTACAGTTATTACATTAGTAACATGAGTGCCTTGTATTACCCAATTATATGACGTGCTAGAATTATTAATATTGAAATTATAACGTTTTATTACATTTGAGATTTTTTTAAATTTAAAATTAATGATATCAGTATTTATATGAAGTAATGATGTTATTTTATTAAAGGTGCCAATATTAAATTAAGAACAGATATTCATATTATATAAATGATCACTAAAATAATTTTTTAAAGTCTTTCATAAATAATTATAATATTCCTAATGCAATAATCAGCTACATGCAAACGTGCAAAATAAATGCAATAACAACATATGATAATTATCACTTTCTAGAATCAACATCAAAGAAGTTGAAAAGTTATTAATTTATACTTAATTATGAGAGGTGGATATAGAAAATCACAACATACCGATATTTGGTAAAATATTCATCCATAGAACAAATCAGACGGAGGATCGAAACGTAGTCCGCAGTAACCCCTCCTTTCGGACTAGTTGTCAGCCTAGGGTGAGTGAACTCGCAAGTCGTACTATAGAAATGATCCTATTAAGTATGATCTTTGTCAGCCTAGAATGCAGTTTCACAAGTGTGGCTATAGCACTATGGATTTATTTGAGTTATAGGATCGATATTAGGCAGAAATGAGAAGGTACGGGATCGACATTACGTCGGATTTATATAATGTCGACAAAGCGAACAGTCGATACCGATATACGATCTATGTTAGCTATCAACAAACAGTACACAGATGTATTATGATAATGTATTAACAGAATTAATGCACATTTTTCACTCACACAGTCGAATTGGCAGAGATTCGACAATAGTATTAGATCGACAGGGTATAAAATCGATATTGCAGTCACGTAACAAGGCTTATTATTAACAACGGTGCAGAATTTAATTAAATTATTAGTATTTTAAGGTATTTGTATAGAATAGAAAATGGGGTCCGATTGACATCTGCATAAAACTGAAACCGGTTTTTGAGCTGTCATGTCAATTCTGAGCGGACAGAGGTTATGGATCGTACGAAATGCCGATTCTGTTCTGGAACAGAGGTTTTCGAGTCTTTTCAATGTCGATCCTGTGGTGGCAGAGAGGTTTTCGATTCTACGCAATATCGATTCGGTGTTGACTGAGAGGTTGCCTATTCTACACAATGTCGATCGTGTGCTAGCAGAGAGGTTTTTGATTCTACGCCATGTCGATCTGGCTGAGAGGTTGCTTATTCTACGCAATGTCGATCTGCTGCCAGAGTTTGTCGATTCTACGCAATGTCGATCCAATGTTGGCTGAGAGGTTGCCTATTCTACGCAATGTCAATCCTGTGCTGGCACAGAGGTTGTCGATTCCACATACTGTCTATCCAGTGTTGGCTAAGAAATCTGTGTCGATCCTGTGTGATCAAGTTCCAGTCCGAACCAGAACTGAAACTATTAACTAAATAATGAATTCTTCTTTTTTTAAAAAAATAGCACGACCAATAGTGATCTGTTAGAATTCCGCCTACTTCTACCTGAATCTTCCAAAAGAAACTGCGCTAACAGTTGGGAATCTGGTAGTGAAGTTAACCAGTGTCCAGGAACCATACCGCTTGGCCACTGATGGATTTCTCCAATGCTAAGATTCAAGGACACGACTAGTTAGAAAGGTTGAAGTTGCACAAATTTAAGATAATCCTTTGTTTGACTTCCAAGATGTGATATTCTGTCATGGAAGCAATAAGCAGCCCACACTATTGACACACAGCCTCACTAATATTTTCTAGAACATCGTGTTATCAATGTCCGTATTGGGACGCAGCTTCGTCTTAAATAAATACTATTGTGATAGTTGTTGGTAATTTATCTTTGACTACTTTTCCTTTGTTATGCACATGGCCACTGATGGATTTCTCCAATGCTAAGATTCAAGGACACGACTAGTTAGAAAGCCTGCAGTTGCACAAATTTAAGATAATCCTTTGTTTGACTTCCAAGATGTGATATTCTGTCATGGAAGCAATAAGCAGCCCACGCTATTGACACACAGCCTCACTAATATTTTCTAGAACATCGTGTTATCAATGTCCTTATTGGGACGCAGCTTCGTCTTAAATAAATACTATTGTGATAGTTGTTGGTAATTTATCTTTGACTACTTTTCCTTTGTTATGCACATACTGTAAACGCGTCCTGCAGAAATTAAGTGATTCCTGTAATTTTCCCCTCTCAGTTTACGATTAATAAAAAATACAACTAATTAGTACAACTTTGCTCTCAGACTACACAACTAATAAAAAAAGAGAGAAAAATACGCCAGTAAATATGGTATGAACTACCACTAATTACATTATAATGACTGTACGTTTTCAGCTTAGGCCTGCATCAACTAAATTGGTTACTAATATGCCTGAAAATAAATAACAAAGTATCACTATCAATGTCCACGAGGCCAGAGCCAGCGCTTGATTTTCTGCTGCCTAGTACATACTTCGCGACTCTGAAATTCCGCTGCGACCGCACTGGCTGCATATTCTTTGCTGCCGGTCCTGCTCGGGGTACAGCTAAGTATTATTTTAATTATTTTAAGAAAATTCGAAAGAAAGGGGGAGGAAATTAAGATTCTCTTATTGCAAGGCAATATAAATATTCACCTATTTTTGCCTTTATATTCGAGTAAATAGGTGTGTTCTATAAACGAATATTTTGTTACAACTTAACTTGCGTTATTATTCTATATCCACCCTTTAGCATTTTCATTGACTTCTTTGAAAATATGCCGAATTAGTTGTTTCAAAGTTACCTTTGTTTCCAAAGTAGCTTCTAATATTTTGATTCTATTCTTTTCATTCTACATATAAATCAAAATAACGAAAATGAGTGGTTGCTCGTAAAATTACAATACGTAAAAGAATTCACTCCTTAGCTTAGTTCATTTGATGACTTTAAAGGTTATTAACAAATAAAATAAATAAACACAAAGTATGCAAAAGGTTTCTCTGATCAGCAGAAATGTTACAACTTTTATCACGGTTTAACAATTTAGATTTCGAAAGGTTATCATATTTTAACAGTTTAAATTTCGAAATTCATCAAATTTTAATAGTTTAAATTTCGAAAACTAAAAATTAAAATTATTTTAACAATCATTCTACATACAAATTAAAATAACGAAACTGAGTAGTTGTTCATAAAATGGCAGTACGTAAAAGAATTCATTTCTTAGTTTAGTTCACTTCACGATATTAAAGGCAATTAACAAATAAAATAAATAAACACACAGAATACAAAAAGTTGCTATCTTCTCAGCAGAAGTGTATTAGATTTTAACAGTTTTAAGTTTCGAAAAATTACCAGATTTTTAATAGTTTAAATTTCGAAAATTAACAATTAACAGTCATTCTATAATATAAATTAAAATGAGAAAATAAGTAGATGCTCATAAAATCACAATGCATAAAAGAATCCCTTCATAATTTAGTTTATTTGACGATATTGAAAGATAATTGACAAATTAAATAAACACACAAAATATAAAAAAACCTGCTAGAATATAAAAGCTATATAGATATTTGTTTATCTTAGCATCAGAAATATTGCAGCATTGATCAGATTTTCAGAGTTTAAATTTTAAATTTCGAAAAACTATCAGGTTTTTATTAGCATAAATTTCGAAAATTAAAATATTACACATATAAAATATTATACATATTTTAACAATGATTATGCATGTAAATTAAAATAAGAAAATGAGTGGTTGCTCATAAGATCACAAAACATAAAAGAATTCAATTTTTAGTTTATTTCATTTGACGACATTAAAAATAATTGACAAATAAAATAAATAAATACACAGAATATAAAAAGCTATTATCTTATCAACAGAAATGTTACAGCAATGGTCAGAGTTGAACAGTTTAAATCTCGAAAAATTATCAGATTTTAACAGTTTAAATTTTAAAAAATAATGAGATTTTTTAACAGTTTGAATTTCGAAATTTATCAGATTTTAATAGTTTAAACTTCGAAAATTAAAAATTAAAATTAACAGATTTTAACAATCATTCTACATGTAAATTAAAATGAGAAATTGAGTGGTTTGCTCGTAAAATCACAATACGTAAAAGAAATCCTTTCTTGGTTTAGTTCATATATTAAAGATAATTAACAAATAAAATAAATAACCACAAAGCATATATGAATGAAGCTTTATCTTAATATTGATGATGGAAGAATTTTACAGTCTAGGAAATCCAAGGAAATTAGAAAGGTGTCAAGTCCAATACTTTTGCGCCGTAAAAGCACCTAAACAACATGCCTTTAAACCTTTACAGCAGGAGTGGGTAAAGAATTTTGTTACAGAATTTTACCCGCTACAGAATTTTGTTACCTGTAGCAGAAATATAGTTACCTGTAGCAGAAATAACACAATATTGCCTTTTCAGACGTAAATAAGTCATTGGCAGAAGTGTCACTGATTTATTTTTAAGAGTTATTAGTTATGTACTGCAATAATTCTGAGTCGTAAAGGGCACATAAACTGTCTCTTATTATCTACCTACACATAACCAAGGACTTCGTATATCATTTGCTAAACGAACTCTGTGATGGAAAGGGATTTTTCAAAAGCATAATGCACAACGAGTCGGTGCACGGATTATACACTCTTAGAAAAAGAAAAAAAAAAAAAAAAGACGCACCAAGAAGGAGTTATCCGACTGGGACAAGTTATAGAGCTTCACAAAGTTAAAAGTCAGTAACGCGTTTGTCCACCTCTGGCCCTTATGCAAGCAGTTATTCGACTTGGCATCGATTGATAGAGGTTGAGGATGTCCTTCTGAGGAATACTGTGCCAAATTCGGTCCAACTGGCGCGTTAGATCGTCAACATCCCGAGCTGGTTCGAGGGCCCTGCCCATAATGCTCCAAACGAGCTCAATAGGAGAGAGATTCAACAACCTTGCTGGCCAAAGAAATGTTCGGCAAGCACTAAGGCAAGCAGTAGAAACATGTGCAGTTTGGGGGCGGGCATTATCTTGCTGAAATGTAAGCCCAGGTTGGTGTGACATGAAGGGAAACACAACGGGCCTTAGAACTTCGTCGACGTACCGCTGTGCTGTGAGGTTGTGACAAATGACAGTGTCACAAATGTGACAAATGATAAGCTGCAAAGCTCAATGACAAGTGATAAAGGCCAAGAGTTAGTGGACATAAAAGTTCCGGCCACACGCCTACCAAGAATTGCCATACACGGAGTCTCAGTTGATATACAGGAGACAGAATTGGAACGTACTTTAGCATCAGAATTCAATGCCACCAAAGCGACAGCCAGAATCCTCTACAAACTCCGGGACAGATGGAACACTGTCAAGTGGGTCATTGAGTGTCAACCATCTATCTTCAAACGCCTCCTGCAGACCCCAAGACTTTACATTGGCTGGCGAGTCTATAGAATCTCGGAGTTTTTTAACACCAGCGGTGTTATAAGTGTCAGGAATTTGGCCACGTCCAGAAAAACTGCAAAAATAGAAACTACTGCGCGTTCTGTACAGACGACCACGAAGTGCGAAACTGCCGTGCACAACGACCTGCTTGCATTAACTGCGCGGACTACAACTACAGGACCGGCAGAAGCATCTCTTGTAACCACCCTGCCTACGATGTCAACTGCCCGTCATACGGCAAATACGTCGCTACAATCAGAAGAGGCACAAAATATGACTGAGCCGCAACCGCCTGATCAACAACTGACAGCATCGCGTACCCCAGGAGACTCTATAAAATGTATTCAAATAAACCTGCAGAAGGCAGAAGCCGCAACGGCGCATCTTGCACAGCACGCAGTAACCCATAAGCCAGATATACTCTTAATACAGGAGCCGTACTGCAGAACTGGAGAGGTGGCATGCCTACCAATTGCCTGGAAGATTTACCAGTGCAAAGCCGCAGCAAATGAACCTGCACCAAGAACTGCAATAGTTTGCTGCAACACAGCCTGGTCGCGCCTCTCATTATAAAGCAAACAGCGAGACCACGTAGCAATACTATTAAGTTTTGCGAGGATGCAGTTAATTATCTCTTCAATTTACAGCCCCCCTCCAGATGACATTCAAGAGACTATTTCAAGCATTGAGGACATTAGCTTTAAGTACCCATCGATCCCGCACTTACTCGGTGGTGATTTCAATGCCCATAGTACCATATGGGGGTATCCCACCACCACCCCTAAAGGGCAACTGCTAGAAGATTTCCTGAATTCTAACGGCCTTCAAATTATCAATGCACCTCATGCACAGCCAACCTTTGATAATACAAAGAAAACAATACATCATGTTTGAAATACATCAGGGCTGGCCGGATATCACTATCACTACCCAGGACATCGCCAACAATATCCATGACTGGCAGGTGGCCGAAGACGAAAGTTGTTCGGACCACCGATATATTTACTTCAATATAGAAGGTGATACGAGCATTAGCATACTCAGGAGATTTAAGTTACCAAAGAATAGAATACAGGCACTCACAAGGGCCTTTTCGCAGGCGCTTCAACAAAAGGAGCAAGCGTTGGATTTATGCAATAATCAGAATGACCTTAATGACCATACAGAACAACTTCTAGACACCATTCGATGCATATGTGATCAATACCTGCCCACCAGGACTGCAAAACGACTACAGGGTATTGCGTGGTGGACGAAAGAACTGCGCCAACAACGGCAGAAGTGCAGGGCGTTAAGACGCCGTCTACGCTCTACGACAGACGAGGAAGCAAAGATTACAATCCTTCGCAGCATTCAGAAAGGAAAGAGCAGCGTACAAGATTAACCTCCTAAAGGCGAAGATCGCCAGCTGGCGGAAGTTCTGTACGGAGAACTCAAATCCATATGGAATACTGCACAAACTAGCAACCTCCAAAGTCTTCAAGCCGGATCATCTGTACGCCAAGACCACAAATCCACCCTCCACCGGCAACATAGCAGAAGATACTGCTACCACATATCTGAATGCAGCCTTCAGGGAAGATAACCCAGAGGATGACACGCCACAACAAAGACTAACAAGAGACTGTCAAGACGTCCCAGATACCCCGGATATCCCTTTCGAAACGGAGGAGATTAAGCAAGTCTTCAAATATCTTCCGCTCAAGAAAGCGCCAGGCCCTGACGGACTGGACTATGCAATCATCAGGGTCGCATACACTGCCTGCCCAACATACTTCAAGGCCTTCTTTAATAAATTGCTAAGACAGCAGATATTTCCATCGGCCTTCAAAAAGGGCCAAGTCGTATTCTTTCTTAAAAAGAATAAATCACCAGAAGACCCCAGCTCCTACAGACCGATATGTTTATTGTCTGCGCTGGGGAAGGTTTACGAGAAACTTCTGGTGAATAGGCTAAAGTACCACCTTCACCGTACCAAATTCCTTAGCAATAACCAATATGGGTTCAGAACTGGCCTCTCTACAGTACACGCTCTAGATAAGATCAGAAGCCACATTAACGATAATAGAGCCAATAACCGGCACACGGCGTTTATATCACTAGATCTTCAGAGTGCCTTTGACTCCCTCTGGTGCCTGCAATCAAGCAGGCCCTCAGGGAGGCAAAGTGCCCCAGGAATCTATATAACATCTTCAACGATTATCTGGACTCAAGAAGTCTCATAATCGCAAACAATAGTGGTGTCTATACAAAGAAGCAGGAGAGGGGCTGCCCCACAAGCTCTTGCGCGGGGCCCCTGCTTTGGATAATTACGTTTCAATGCGCTTACTGCAACTCAATTGGCCTGACCACACCAAAGTAGTGGCGTATGCCGATGATGCGGCACTACTAGTTACTGGCCGTACGCG